ACAGTCCAGGGCGTTAGCGAATGAGTTGTTACAACATTCACTAACGCTAGCGATAGCGAATTTGCACTCCTTACAACAGTGCAGGGCGTTAGCGAATGAGTTGTGGAACCCTGTCACCATCTAAAAATGAAAGAAAGCTGCAGTCGTGAGTCTCAGAACCTCTTTTAAAAAAACATTAGTGACAAGCCGCTTTCAAGATATTTAGTGCTGTAAGGGCTTGAGATTTCCTCAACCTCTTGAACCATTCACTAACGCTAGCGAATTGTGTAGTAAACTTAGGATTCCTCAGGATCACTCAAAAAGTTATGTTTTCCGCAAAAGTTCTTCTTACAGCAAATCTTTTAGGCTGCTCCAGAGAGTTCAAAAGCTTGTTACAAGTGTCACTAACGCTAGCGATCATTTTAAGAGCTTGAGATGTTCTCAAGTCACTACAACACTAAATATCTTAACTGCGCATGAGCGAACGGCCATATTTATTCTATCACAAAATGTTATCGCCTTTGGTTCTTCCCCGCAACATTTTCCAGTGTTTCCGATAAAGTCCACAAGCATATGACAGTGTTGTATATCGCCCATGCAGGTTTCATGGCCCTAGGACCTCCGATGTGATACTTTCATCAACGACCTTTTTGGTTGCTCACATCCTTTGCAATATTTTTTGAACCCCACTTCAGATCAGTTCTTGACAGATCACTATGCTAGATCATTTGCTCCCTCACATTTTTCAATTTAGCAGTGTGAAACTAAGCCATGGAAGCCAAGAAAATCTTGTTGCCCATTGTACACAGAGGGTTGTTAGAAGGATTTTCAACCAACCATCAAAACAAAGCGATCGACTGTCTGCTTTAAAATCCCACAAAGTGTGAATCCGAATCTAATTGACTCAGCTCATCTAGCATCAACCCAACCAACCAACCTAAACCAACAACAAACTAACAACATGTATGGAGTGCAGAGGTTTCTATGAAATCCAGTTTGGGCTCACAGCTACAAAACCAATATTTTTGTCAAATCACATATTCAAACATGTTAAATACACCATAGTATTAATTAATTTTAATTAGTTACTTTTGTTATAGTGGGAACTTTGCGCGCCTCCTAGCCAAGCCAACGCTGGATTACATAGCCGTAGCCATTTGCAGGACCAGCACATCAACTTCCGTGTCATCTCCGACGCCATCTTTGGAGAAGAGGCCCGCGCCATCGCCTGGCGAGCACTTTGGAGTAGGCTGCCCTTTGCTGCTGCCCTGAAGGGTCTTTTCTGGGAGGTTGGTGCAGTAAGGCAGTAAGGTGTACCAGCGAGCACGTGCTCCAAGCAGTGCAAACATTACATTCTCCCAAAGAGCGGAACTCCACGTTGCTTCAGTAGACTACCATACCGTGGAAGATACCAGAGCAGCAATCAGAGTTGTCTCTCCCCTGCGGCTTTCAGCATTGATTGTCTTGTCAAACACATCCTCCTGCAATAGCCGGTTTTGTAAAGTGGCCATGGCTGATCAATAAGGCCCATTGAACCCAGTGGGTTTGGATGTGTCCCCCAGGCATCCATAGGCTTTTGCCCCAGCGGGTTTGGATGATAGCCTAACCTTCGGCCAGACGCAAGTGTTTCTCTTCTGGCATTCGACCTAAGCTGGGAGGTCACATAGACCAAGCGCTCATATATGGAAGAAATCCTGCAGCACCTGGAACCACCAAAAAACACTACCAATCCATGCTGGAACGATATTCCCTGTTGTGGTGTAAGATGTCTGGCATCCGGGAGAGGTTCCGATCATCCTTTGGGTTGTTGAAGAGTTTCACTTCAGCCGAATGCGCTTTGATGACTTCAGTTGTTGATTTCAGAGAGGGGCCGATACCCTGGCTCCTGGCTAATCCTGGCAGGCCTCGAAAGACCTCTACATCTACAACATCAGCAACAAGCCCCGCGTCTCGCTCGCAAGGTGCCAAAGGACCCAGCGTCCGGACTGGCTGTGCCAAACGGGCCAAACGCTCCCCATCCGAGGGGAGTTTCAGCATCTATGACTCACCCATAGTCACCCGACTGGTCGGCCTAGAGGTCAAAGACATCATTGCTCTGGACTGGTCATTGCTCTGAACACTAATTACTTCGAGGTAACTAGACCATGGTTTTTCGGGGTCTCGGGACTGCAGTCATCTGAGCGGTTGAAATGAATGAGCTGAAGCTCCAAAAAGCCCCCCCGTTACTGTTTCAAAGGGTTTGGATGGGAGAACTCCTACACCACCCAGGATACCCGAAAAGAATCACAACGCCCCAAGAATCCGGGCTGTCAGATGGAAAAGCTTGCAGTCCCGACACCGGACCGCGACGGACCGCGACTGGACCACGATGAGGTTGTTGGACGGATGATTCGACCGATGGGCGCGTCTCCGGGCGCCGCGCTTTCGAGGTTGGGAAGGCGTCTTTGATAGCGTCCGGCAGTTGGAAAGTGGTCGTGAGCATCTCAAGGAGGGCTGCCAGTCGGCCTGGCGGGGCGCCAGGCCCATCACCAAGTTTCATGGACCCAGGATGAGGAGCAGCTAGCACATACTAGCACTAGCACCCTCCGTCCCAACTCCATTCTGGCAATTGAATGGTAGCGAAGATTTGTCATTCTGGATTTAGCCCAATTTGATCACATCACTGCTTAGTTTTGGAGTGGGGAATGTTGGTGCTTTATGTTTGAAGATCAGATCAGCAGATCCCGATGCTTTAGGTGCTTTAGGAGACAGGTTCTCCAAGGCTTTTGACCATCGAATCGCTGAAAGCACCAAGCTCGGCTCAGTGGAGAACCCTGTTTGTTGGGACCGCTCCCCGGATCCGTGAAGGGAAGGACACCTTGGTGGAAGCTGAAGAAGTCAGCGACCCTTCAAGAAGATCCTCCGAAGATCGGCGCGTCAGCGCCGCCTCCGGGACGAGGGTCCGGGACCCGGAGTCCTGGAGGTCATGGAGGGCCCATTGGGAGTTCTTTTTTGGTAGACTCTTGAGGTACATAAACTCCCCCCTTTGAAGAGGATGTTCAATTCAAAAGGGGGGGTTTATGTACCTCAAGAGTCTACATTTAGGTAGTGTAAACTCAATGGTGGGCAACCGGCCACCGGATAGGGCGGGCTGCCTCGGATCAGGGTTCGCTCGGAATCCGCGGCCGTTCCGGGACTCGAGAGAGGAGAAGGCCTTCGCGTATTGCCACGCGGTGAACGAATGGCAGCCTGTCAAGTTGGAGGAATGGTATCGCCGTCGGCGTTTGAAGGAGTCGGCTCGATACTCAAGAGATGCTTCTTTTTTTGGGGGGGGCAGAAGATGGGAGAATCACGTGTCCATGTTTAATGGAGGTCCATGTTAGTCGGCGGTTTCGAAGTTTCTAGCGAGAAAGGGGATCCAGTACTTGCGCAGGTTGGAAGTTGTGGTCTTTATGTGCTGAAGTCACGGCAGTAATTGACTTCATGAGTTGGAGACGCTGAAATGGAGCTTCATTGGCTGTGCGGTTGGGTCGCCGGACAGGAGTAGACCTTACGTTTCCCACCATGATATTCCCTGTTTCCTCAAGAAGCCACTCAAGAGAGGCTATGTGAGTTACGTTTGTCAATGCACTTCAAGCCCACCTCCCAACATGATGTTCTCAGACGTGTGGCCTTTTGTGTCTTGGGATGTGTTTGGGGTTCATGTCCTTCGCCACTCAGGGGCTACGACCGCAGCATCCCAACCAGCTCCTACTTCCCTGGCTGGCTTCGAGACGGGATGCGAAAGCATTTGGATACCCGACCCTTGTTGTTTGCTGCTGGCAAGGTCTCTGTCGTCATCCACTTGCGCCGATCCGACCTGGAACGTGGCGATACGCGTGCCACACCAGACGAGTACTACTACCGTTTGGCCAAGGAAATTGGTCAGATCTTACCTGCCGAGCTCTTGGATTTTCATGTGTGGAGCTCCACCAAGAATATCCCGGCATATGACTATCACTACTGGACATCGAAGGATTACGATGGCTATCGGGAGCGTGGCATGACAGTGCACTTGGATGAACAGATTGACAACAATGATGATATGATCAAAGCGTGGACGCACATGGCGAGAGCAGATATTTTCATCATGTCGCAAAGCTCATTTTCCATGGTGCCTGCATACATGAACACCAACTGTGTGATATACCCCTCCAATATCGATGCACCACTGGAGAACTGGATCAATGGAAGAAACGAGGCTCGAGAAAGTGGCTCGAAACCCAGATTAATTTTTACCTTTTGGGATCCTTTTTGGTTGTGTGTTTTGGTGTGTAGAACCAGTTGCGATGTTGCGTCGATCACCCAAAAGTGGACGTCATCGGTCTGGACTTGAGACCGTCACCACCGGAGGTTACAAGCAAGAGCTTGAAGCATGTGTGGGCCGTGCCCAGAAGCATGCGGGTGTGGCAGCTACCACAGGCGACTGAGATGGGACCGAGGGGCTCCCGAACATTGAAGTGGAAGTTCCTTCCTTTTTGTTCACCTTTGCTGATAGGTTGGGACGTGTGATTTTTGGACCTCCGTCCAGTTCCATATAATTGAAGCATTTCGTACGGTAATTTGACCTGAGCCTATATAGTAGGGGAGGTGTCAGATTGATAGTCGTACCGTCATTGTTAGTGCTTGGTGAGCAACATCCAGACATGTTCAGAAAACAGCTCAGGAATCTCCTCGGATCTTCGCTTTTTGGCCAACACTCCCGTCAGGCTCGGCCGGTGTTGAGAACGAGAAGGTTCCTCAGGTTCGAGAGAAGACCGAGATGGAAAGCAAGACATGCAACCTCAAGGCCAGGGCGGGCGGATTGGCCTTCGTTCTGTGGTGCCGGTGCCTACTCCCCGAGGACCACATGGAACCCCCAAACCACGTCGGGTTGTAGAGGAACATGGTCTTCCAGTCTGGTCAATTCTCGGGTTCCATGTTAGTATGAATACACTCCCGAAAGCGAACATGGACCCGGGTCGAATGGTTTTCCTCTAGCTGCACCGGTGGTTTTCAGGGTCCATGTTAGTGTTCAACAGGGTAAGCCTTGAAGATATATGTTGGGTGGCCCAACATGCAGAGATTCACTGGGGCATTGGGAGAACTCCATGGGAGAACCTCATCGCCGGTTTCATTTGGCCCATCAAGGCCCTTAACGAGAAGCAAAAAAAACACGACTGGGAGAGTTTGGTGTTACATGTTGTCATTGTGTCGTTATTCTTCAAGCTTTTTGCTTATGATTACTTCAGAAGGACAAAGTGCGCGGCATGACCATCGTTGTCAAGGTCATCAACCATGAGGTCACATGGGCCCAGCTGGTACAGACATCGGCATGATGGGTCAAGATATGTGCAGATGCTTTCGGGGGGATTTACGTCAGAATGTTCGGGAGACTTGTGCCATGACAAGCATGTAGGAGTCCATGAATGCAAGAGCAGCCTCCCTCCAACCAGATTCAACCCAGGAAGAGCAATCCGTTTTTTGTTTTGAGGTGTGCAACTTGCACGAAGCACAAGTGCCCAGACTGTACATTCTGGAGCACACGGATGGCGCTGGTCATCGTATGATGCTTGGAATCGCCGTATGCTCTCGTCGTGCGGTTTTCCTTCGGGGGTGACATGTCATCCCAGCTGGCATGGGGTGGACCCGTGCCATGCCGAAGTTAAATACGGCTGATGATTCAAGCATACTACACTCCCGAAAACTCACATGGACCCTGAGGATGAGACCCGGTAAGGGTGGTCCTCTAGCTGCACCAGTGGTTTTCAGGGTCCATTTGAGTTTTCCACGGAGTAAAACCTCCCATCTCCAGAATGGTCTTACCATGTCTTACCCTGCAGAGGCATGGACCCTGACAACCCCTGGGTGGTAGATGAGAATTAGTCTCACAGGGGCCCTTCTCACGGTCCATGTAGTTTGCAGCGTTCTGTTCATCAACCGTCAGCAAGATTTGCAAGGCCTTTTTTTGGCGGGGGAGGATTTGGGGACACCCCACTAATCACTAATTAATTAATTAAGCAGATGAATAGCTGAAAAGTTAGGTTAGAGGATGTTTATGTTGACTAGGTGGCTTTTTTCAAGGTAAAGGGTTTTTGTGTTTCTTGAGGCCACACAGGAGCCGCATACAACCCAATCTCTGTTCGCAACTTCGCTAATTTCAACAATGAGCTATGACCATGCAGAGCTGATCTACTTGCACAATCATTCATCATTGTACCCCAGTGTAGGTGGTATAAAGGACACTTTGTGCCCTTGAATCTGTTCAATTACAGAAAAGGGGTGCTTGACCTTTTGGTGCACAATAAAACAGTGCACTTGACCTCATTTGTTGCACTCCCTTCAGCAGGAGTTCGCAAGCCATCGGGGGCCGGTCGCTCAGGAAGTCCATCTTGGAAGCCATTGCCATCGCCTGGCGGAACACGCTCAACTTCGGTGGTGTGGTCGGTGCCACGGCCGCAGCTGCTTCAGGCTTTGGCAGGCGGGTAGCATGTGCTGAAAGGGTGTTGGGTGCGTCTGCAGGTGGCATGTGGTGTTCAGCTGCTGGTCACGAAGTGGAAAACGTTACGAAAGGTTAAGGCTCGGTCCCAGAGCTGGTCCAACCAGGGCTTTGGCTTGCAGCCCTAAGCGCTCCGCGCACCAAGGTCTCCACACCGCGCCGTGGTAGAGTTCAACGAACACCGATTGCGAACCGCCCAGGTCGAACGTCCGACAGATCCAAGGTCAACTGCAGCCCCTCACGGATCAACACATCAACTTCCGCGTCATCGTCGACGCCCTCTTCGGCCCGGACGCCTCCCGCCGCTCGGGACAGAAGCCGAAGCGGCTTCGCCGGGTCACGCGGGAGACGCGGGGGACGTCCTGAGTTGAAAGTCCAACGAAGGGGAGCTGGAGCTGAACCTGGGTGAAGGAAGATTTGGAAGTAAGCCATCCTTAGTCCCAAAGCGGAGCCCAACCTTTAAAAAACCTTATAATATAATTTGTTTCTTTTTGGGGGGTGGTGTCTCCATTAACAAGAACATGGTGGAAAGCGAGATAAGCTGCTCCAATTTCCCCGCAAACCGGCTTGGAAGTCGGGGCTGGACCCTGTCGGGTTTCGAGTCTAGACAATCGCCGAAGCGGCGATCGCATGCGTAGGGCAGAAGTTCAAGGTTTTAGGAGGTCGATAGCAGTCACCTTTTTTCGCATTTTTGGGCAACTAGGTATGGTAACGAGAGTTCTCGGCGTTCTTTGCAGAAGCCTTCGTTCGTTTTGACCATTTCCAAGGAGACTTCTTCCTTTACAACATCAGTCACCAGGCTTCAAGAAGCTGTGGAAGAAGCTGAGGCGGAGGGAACTTGCATACACGATGAGTCATACTCCTGAGACACATGTCAGGGTGCCGAACGAACCGAGGAAGGAGTGCAGGTGCCCCTGTCACATCCACTCACTGGATGGGACTAAACACCACCCCCTGTGACCCCTGGCTATGATGATTTGATGGCTAGAGTCTCAATGTTAGGAGGAAGCACCAGATGACCCAGACCAGACCCACCAGGCATTTGACATCACCAGGGTAAACATTTGTGTGACGTGGTCTTCAGCATGTTTGACGTCACAGTTTCCGACGTGTTGTTCCGAGCATGTTTTCTGGATCAGCGCGGTTGTGAACCGTTGGCTTGACAAGTCTCCCCCGACGTGTTGAAACACGCTGCTCAACCGGAATGGATGGCTATAGCTCCGGCCAAGCGGCCTGCCTCACTATTCTCACTAGCATGCCGAGCGGTTTGAGTGGGCCTAAAGGTTGGAATACGAGTACCTCTCAAAAAGGCATATACATGCATATACGCATACTTAAAACATGCTTCTCCATCGCTTCCAGCATCCCAAAGACCAGCACAGCTTCAGCTTCCTTCGAATGTGGTGGACTTGGAATCCCATGGAATTTCTTTTCTCCGAAGATTGTCGACCTCCTTGATGTTCGATCAATAAACCCTGATCGCCTAATTGCACAATGATTCACCAGGTTTTACACAATGGGGTGGGCTGTTCCCCGAAAAAGGGCGTCGTTCGAGTCCCTTTTTTTTGTGGAGACAACGAGTCAACGAGTCAGCTCGTTGCAGGATGGTTGATTCACCAAGCGTCGGCCAGACACCCTGCCAGAATTTGTTAAAATTAGTTAAAGGCATATTCAAATCCGTCACATGGGCGGCATGAGAATTCTGCACACACTGGAAGAAATTCTCATCTTTAATAATTACCCTTCTTTGACCTTCTTTAAAAGCATGTGGCAGGAATGTGTTCTTTTTTTCAATGTGGAGGGACAGCAGGCCCTTCAAACTTGTCCCATCAATAAGAGCCTCTGAGTTTGCGGGATGCTGTGGGTTGATTGTGATTGATCCTGAAGGAAATGTCGAGGAAAGGAACTGAGATCAGTGACCCACCAGAGAGGTCACTGGCCCTCCCAAAATAAAATAACAACAACATTATACACTCCCGAAAACTAACATAGACCCTGACAATTTCTCCTGGAAGATTGTTTTCCTCTAGCTGCACCAGTGGTTTTCAGGGTCCATGGGATCGTCCTCCAGAGTGTAAGCAGCTTGATTGCGAGTATTTTGTTGGTGAGAGGTCCACAGATACAAGCTTTTGCTGATATGTGCTGAAGTCTTTTCAACCCTAGGCTCTCGGTCTAACTTCGCGATGGAGTTCGAGAACGTGCGGAAGCTCGAAGCAGGCGCCAAGCAGCTCCCTGCTGGAGCGTTGGTCTACTGCAGCGCAGTGAATGAATGGACCGGACCTCAGTTCCAACACACAAGGCCGGAACTGAAAGGACCCAGCCACGTTCAACACCATGAACACATCCAACTTGGATGTCTTGTTTTGTCCTGGTTTGGCCCAAACTCGCGAAACTCGCATGTCCCATGTGAGTCGCCTTCGAGTTGCGTACATGGTGTAACATTGTGACGCGCAAAAAATTCTGCGGTGGAAGAGGACCCCAGTTCAAGCCGAAACACCTTGTTCACTACCCACGTGTCAACTCGTCACGATGGCGCTTGGTCATTGTTAAAGTGGAAATCAGAGCACCTGAGGCAGGAGGGTTTGAAGGTCTTTGGGAGGGAGCACCTGGGATCGATATGTGTCATGATGTGTCATGTATCCATTGCATTCCATTCTATATATTCGTATACACACTTCAGAGAGGTCTATACACAAAGCGCTGTGTTATTTACATTGTTGGCATGAAGGTTGGCACGCTCAGAGAGAGAGAGAGAGAGAGAAAAAGAAACAAAAGGAATAAACAAAGAACACAAGAAAGAAAGAAAGGAAGGAAGAAAGGAAGGAAAGAATCTAGAAAGACTCGAAGAAAAGAACAGAACAGAAGAGAACAGAAAAGAAAGAAAGAGAGAGAGAGGGAGGGAGGAAGGTTGCCCGGTATGTGCCTCTTGAATAGAATAGGACTGTAACCACTTGATAACAGAATTGATGATGTTTATTTTAACATTCACACGATCGACCGAGGGGCTATGACCGCAGCATCCCAACCAGCTCCTACTTCCCTGGCTGGCTCCGAAATGAACTCCGCCAGCATTTGGATACCCGACCCTTGTTGTTTGCTGCTGGCAAGGTCTCTGTCGTTATCCACTTGCGCCGGTCTGACCTGGAACGAAGCGATACTCGTGCCACACCAGATGCCTACTACTACCGTTTGGCGAAAGAAATTGGTCACATTGTCTCTTTTGAGACCTTGGATTTTCATGTGTGGAGCTCCACCAAGAATATCCCGGCATATGACTATCACTACTGGACATCGAAGGATTACGATGGCTATCGGGAGCGTGGCATGACAGTGCACTTGGATGAGCAGATTGACAACAATGATGATATGATCAAAGCGTGGACGCACATGGCGAGAGCAGATATTTTCATCATGTCGCAAAGCTCATTTTCCATGGTGCCTGCATACCTGAACACCAACTGTGTGATCTATCCCTCCAATATCGATGCACCGCTGGAGAACTGGGTTGATGGCAAGGACAACAAGCGAAGTCAATACCAAGCCAGCTTGCAGAAGTGTGTGGCTCGCGCAGTGGAAGGGAGCCAAACAGAGCGGAGACCCCGTCGCGCGGTGGGTCGCTGCGGGCTGTTGTTGGGTCCCAGCGGGAGGTTCAGCACTCTGAGTCCTGAGAAAGCAAGCTATAGAGATATACACGACGCGTTTGGGACTGCCAGGACGGACTGCCACTCCATGATTGATCCCCCTGGCACCACCCCTGGCCGTTTCTCGGCAGTCCTATGGCAGTCCCATGGAGTGTTTGGGATAGAGATATGGAGCGCACGGTGGACGTTGATGGTGTGTTGACTCTGTTGACCTTGGTTCGAGCTGTGAAGAGGTCAGAGCCATCAGTTCTTCCCCGCCTCTTCAGGGATGAACCTTTTTGTTTTCACCAGGTCGGTGGAGCTTGATGAGGGAATTTCAGAGGGAAGAAACGGAAGAACAGGGCCCAGATCTGGCACAACCGAATTGCTCCGAAGTCTCAAGGCAAACAAGTGTTGTTTAAGACATGAACACCCTAAGTCACTCCAGTCCCAACCAGACCACCGTCGACGTGTTTCTGGTTGTGACTGGGGTGACTTAGGACACCATTTACCACTGTTCTTCCATGCCTTGAGTTGAAATGTCGTGCACCACTGAAGATTTTATCGAATATGTTCACCACAGCTTCCTCCAGGTTCCTGGGTGAGATTTGCGTTTGTTGCCTCAGACGCAGGTACGGCACCGTGTGCGGACCATTTTGCAATGATTGGCCCAATTCGCTTCTATTCACCAGTGGGTGGGGTTGATACAAGGTTTGGCGCATGGGAAACCATTGTTTGGGATACCCTTGGCTCATTGTTATGTCCTGCAATGTTTCGTGTGAAACACACGGGAGAACACGAATTGTTTCTGCCACTGCGACGTGATTTTGGTCTGGCGGAGCTGTGTGCAAGATGCACTGGATGTCTTCAAGATGGTACCCCAAGATGTCCTGAAACAGTCGCGGGAACATGGGGGAACCCATGTCAACCACCAAAGTTAGAAACATGCCGTGCCATGTACCAGGACCCTCAAAGTGACCTCTTTGGAGTCTCTAAGTGACCTTTAACAGGCCTAAGTGACCTCATCCTGGGATCTCAAAAGGTCACTTTGAAGGTCCTGGTAATCTACCAGCACTTTTCTTTCCACGCCCAACACGTGGAAGACCAGGTCAGTCCTTCAGTTTGCTTCCGTCTCACCACGTTCGACGGGCTTTGTCGGCTTGCGCGGAGTCGTCCGAAAAACGGCTCAAGCCGCCTGGGCTCAAGGGCTGAAGTCGAGCTTTGCAGAGAGCGACGGCTCAGGATCTAAGGAGCGCTAATTAAGGTGTGCTAAGGCTTAGCATGGCTGAGCAGCATGGCTTAGCTAAGCGGGTGTACAAGAGATCCATAGATGTCCCCATTAAATATCGGAGCGTCTCGTACCGGGAAGCAGCCGTAGGGAGCGACGTCTTTCCCGGGGAGGTGAAACCCGTTCCAAGGCCGCCCTTGGTGCTGGCGCGCGGAACTCGGCAAGTTGACCTCACAGAATCGACCCCGTGAGCCCCATCAAATCAGCCATCCAGCGACCCGTTTTTCTGAGAGGGAGCCATCGTGGATTCTGGAGGCCTTGTTGGGTCAACACCAGTGTCAACTGCCTCACCCGGGAGGCGAGAGACAGTGTTAACTGGTGAGTTTGTTCAGCCACCAGACCTCACAGCCATTTGATTTCATGATATCTGAGCTGTTTTCTCATGTGTTCTCCCATGTGTTCTTGAAGAGTTCAGCCATGTTCTGCCTGAATGGTCGCAAATCGAGAGCCACGCAATCTTTAGCTCAGCTGGGCTGCAGGGCTAAGGATCAGAAGCATAGCACGCCCAAGCATAGCACGCCCCTATCAACAGTGGCCAACAGTGACCACTAGCAGTAGCAGCCGTGAACGATTTGAGTCATGGAATTCGGCTGATTGGAGCGTCCGCTTCGCGAAGCAAGCTCCATGTGCAACTGGGGCTTTGGAGTAGTTGCCATGGGGAGGAGTAGTTGCCATAGTATTTTTGTTTTGTTCTTGATCAGACTTCAGGGATCGTCACTTGAGTCATCCAGTCCAGAGTCAATAGAGTCAAATACCTCGAGGTCCCCCAAAGCCCGGCCAAAGGCCTGAGTATTGGGGAGTCTCAGCTACCAAGAAGTCACCGACCTCCAGAGGAGGTAGTGACCAATTGCACGGCGTGGACACCTGGAGGAGAAGGACTGGTCAAACCCGGCGGGTGTCCACCTGTGTCCGGGAACATTGGCAACCATGACGAGCAGGAGATTGCACGTCCCTGGACATGGAAAATGGCCTCTTGGAAGACCATGTTCCTTACCAACAGGGGCTGAACTCCACTTTTCTTCGTGGTCGCTTTTTCAAGTTCGTCCTCCATGGCTCCAACCTCATCCGAGTCCTTCCAGTGGAAACCATGTCCGACCCTGGTTTGGTGGATCTGAGGCAGCTTTCTGGTGGCGAACTGGCTGATCAGCAATCTCGCATATAGCGACCAAGTGGCGACGTCAGTCGGGGACGTTGGCCTGGCGCGGGCTTGGTGTGACTAGAGTGTTTAGAGTCTAGAGACATAGGGAGACCTCGTGACAAGACCCTCGGGTCACGGGACGTATCACATACTAAAAGCCATTGGCGTGGCGGTTGTCAGTGACCGTGTGTATTGGCTTCAGGACAGGCGTGAATGAAGCTGAATCTACATAGTTTGGGGAAAAAATCACCTGGGCCTCATGGGTCCAAGATGATGACAATTGGAAAATCCAGACTCATTGGTGCAACATTTTTTCGACCTACATGTTATTAGGACCGAATCAAGACAAACAAGTGCATTTCCTCCACGGTGCTGGGGCTAGTCACTAGTCCAATGTAAGGCACCTACAGGTGCGGACATCACCGGTTTGTGAAAACGGTGAAAGGAAGAGAAGGATGCCCTCTACTAGGACCCTCCAAGGGGTGTCCAATGGACTACCCCACACTACCTATAGGACCTATAGGCTTCCATTGGGCACCCCTTGGAGGGTCCTGGTACACATAAGTAGCTGGTTTTCCTCATCCAGTCCCGAAAACATGGCAACCCACACAATCAGGAAGAGGCAAAGTTCCTCCATGTGAAGCAAGATGAAGCAAGTTCATTCTTGCAAATACAGTGGTTTCAGAGGCTCGATGGCACTGGCACCCCTATATATGTCTTAGACAGATGGGGGTCCATTTTTCAACCACCGAACTTGGGGATTGTGCCGTCCTCTCAATCCATTATGGAAAAAAATCGAAAGGACCGTTCTTGGGGTCCGTCCTTTGTGAAAGAAGGAGACGTTCTTCATCCTTCCTCCTTCTGGGGGGAAGCTTAAGCGTCATACAAGCGTATCGGTGTATCTCAAAGCTCTTGGCCTGCACCGAAGAAAGACCTTCTTCATCCTTCCGAGACGCCCGCCCAGCTCCAGCGACACTCTCCTCCTCTCCGAAGGCAACTTCTTTCTGCAGCCCCGTGGGCCGGATGAGACGACGCGATGGCAGGGCTATGGCGCCTTGGCTCGTCGATCCTCAGTGTCCATCAGCTGACCCAGTCGTTAGGTTCGGGGGAGACCTTTGCAGAGCCCAAGGCCGCCATGTCCCGGAACTGACTGCAGTCCAATGGGGTGGACGTCGACGAGTGTAAACAGTGTCGGTGCTTCTTCTACATGGTGGCTTCTTCTACATGGCCTCAGGAGGGCCATGTCCAACAAGTTCCCTGCGTCTCAGGGAACTTGTTGGGCTGCTATTATTTCGGGTCTCTCTCCATACCAATTCCCAAAAAAATATCCAGTCGACCATTTTCTACAGTCTTTAGGTGGTCCGAGTTCAGGAATGTCCTTGAATTACTTGACAATTGGGTGGTGCAACAATTCCCAGACACTCCATGGGACTGCCATATATGCCTACATTGACTCCTCAAACCACCCCAATGGGGTGGCATATGCATACATGGCTGTAGTTGCTGTAGCCAGCAGACCGCTGTTGGGGACGCAAGGGGACCAAGGGAGGACCTTGGAGTTCCGGCCAGACCCTTGGGATCGGCCTTCAAGGCCCCACCGGGACGCGAACGTTGCCCCAACTGGAGGAGTTCTTCTCGTATCGATTTCACAAGGAAGAAGAAGGAACTGAGAAGGAACAGGTCTATAGGTAGGGTTTCTCCCATGATGCCATGAACAGTATCCAATGATGGCGATGATTTTTTGGGAGATTGTTTGCAGTCGATCTACTGTTGCTTTTTGGAATGGCCATACTCGATCGGTGCAGGATGAGTCTCAAAAAAAACGGGAGTGGAAGAAGGTTCATGCTATTCTAGTTTCTGGGGCGTGAAGAGCGGCAGAAAGCCCAAACATAGTATGATGATGATGACGATGACGATGACGATGATGATGATGATG